ATGCGATTTCCCTTGTCCATAAGAATCTCCTTCCCCAGTCCCTTTCCTCTGCAGTTGGTAAGAGACGGGCAGGGCTGAGTTTAATAGTTTGAAGGTTGGGGATAGTAAAGCCCTGAATAGGGAAGTATCCTGCCCAAGGTCACACAGCAAAGAAGAAAATTCAGATGGCCACAACTCAGCCAAAGGCCTTAACCCCTCTCTCTCCAGCTGCACACATGCTGCACTCTCCACCAACTCCTGGGCCTTTCTCCACATCTCACTTCCCTCAGCTCTGGACCATGGGCTACTTTTTGGATAGGGAAGCAAGAGGCAGCAGAAGCCATTCTCTGAGGACCACACCTCAAAGAGCATGATCTCCCAGGTGGGATTGTTCTGAGGCCTCAGGCAAGGAGGCTGGCCCGAAAGCTGATCTCCAAGAGGGCGTGGTTCTAAACTGCTGGCAAATAAAAGCCTGGAGAGACAGCATCAGTCCAGAGACCAGCAGGAGGCACAGGGAGACTACGAGCCACTCAATTCCTGGGCCTTGGAAGTGGTGAGCTCACTGAGGCAGAAGGAGCTTGGGGAGGGCCTCGGGATGTGGACAAGGTTTGTGAAAGCTAAGATGGGGCAGATGGAGGGAGAAAGATGTTTGTGCTCCAGATGGCAAGGGAAGTTCCAGGGGAGAATCACCACACATAGGGCTTACACCTAAGTCCCATCCAGAAACAGCTGCTTACACTCACACCCATCCTGACACTTGCACGCGCATGCACACACACACACACACACACACACACACACACACACACACACATACAGAGAAAAGACAGCCTCACTCAAGCACACCTCACCTGTCAGACCAGCCAGCCCTGGCCGACTCACCAGGAGGCATGCAGTATTTAAAGAACTCCTCCTCCCACCTGCATACCCATAGTGAGACATCTACCCATTGTGTTTCAGATGCCCATAGTGTCCCCCCAAACCCTGCTCCTCTGCCTGCTGGTCCTGGCAGTCATGGAAGGCCAGGGTCGGGAGGCAGCCATCCCAGGCTGCCACTTGCACCGTGAGTACCTCTGGGACCAGAGGGCTGGAGGGAGTGGAAATTCTGGGTGGGAGCAAAGAGCTGATAGACTGCACTTTGGGGTAGGCAGCACTCTAGATGGACCCAAACTGAGGAACAGACAACAGGAGCTGGGGCAAGCCTTTGAAGAATTGCCACCAACTGCTCACCCATCTCCTTCTAGCCATCAACGTGACAGTGCGAAGTGACCGCCAAGGCACCTGCCAGGGCTCCCATGTGGTACAAGCCTGTGTGGGCCACTGTGAGTCCAGTGCCTTCCCCTCCCGGTACTCTGTGCTGGTGGCCAGTGGCTATCGACACAACATCACCTCCATCTCTCAGTGCTGCACCATCAGCAGCCTGAAGAAGGTGAGGAGGGCCCAGCCCAGTGATGGGACATTGGGGGTTGGGGGAAAGACAAAGGAGATGGGGATCGAAGATGGCCCTATGAAGGGGGGCTGGAATGTGGACTCCCCTGTCCCACAGGTGAAGGTGCAGCTGCAGTGTGTGGGGACCCGAAGGGAGGAGCTCGAGATCTTCACAGCCAAGGCCTGCCAGTGTGACATGTGTCGCCTCTCACGCTACTAGTTCATCCTCTTCCCTCCTCTCTCCCCTGGGTTAGAGGGTTTGAAGTTCTGGTAGGAAAGCCTGGTCTGGGATTCAAACACTGGAGGGAGTTCCAACCCTGCTGGCTACTTGCGATTGGATTTTGTAAATGAGGGGTTTGCTCCAGCTCTTACCCTCTTAAGATTTTGTGACTGTCACCTCCTGAGAAGAGGGGAATTTTTGCCTCTTCCCTTTCTCTGCTTGGCCCTTCTAACCAGTCTTTCATCATTTTACTTCCTTTTTTGCCCTACCCCTAAATAAAGCAAGCAGCTCTTCAGTTTCTCTCTTTATTAAGTCTACCCCAGCCAGAGGAAGGGAGATAGGCAATGATTACTGTGACCCGCCCCCCCTTACCCCAGGACACTGTGAATCTGTTCCTGTTTGTGCCCTCACCCCTCCCCCTGCCCAATAAATAAAGAGGGGACAAGGAAGTATAGGGCAAGGGAGGGGAGGGAAGGAAGATGCCCCAGGCCCAGGACAGTGTCTGTATTGAGGGTAAGCAGGGCGAGAATAAATAGACCATGGACCCCCACGGTGGGGATGAGAAAGGATGTCGTGCTGGCCTGAGGCAGGGGAAGATCCCTGATGGCAGCTTCCTGGTCAAGCTTGCCCTGGTCAAGTCCTGCCATGCGGGCCTGAGAGTTCTGTTGCCAAGACCACCTCTCCTCTCCTCGTCTGCCCCCTGGTAAAAACTGCCCACACTGGACTGGGCAGGGAGTCCTCAGAGCCCACTCTGGCAAGGCCAGGGATAAGTGTGTATCTCTCTGGGCCCCTGGGCAGGAGGAGGGATGGAGGGACTGATAGCTCTGGGTTTAGCTTCTCCCTTTCTGGGAGGCTCTCTAGCTCTGACCCCCACTGGTGGCCACCTGGGGTGTAAGCCGCTGGAGGGGGGCCTCCCTGGCCCCCTGGGTCCCCTGTAGTCGGCGTAGCCGCAGTTCCTCCAGGCCTTGCCATAGCTCCTGACGCTCCCGGGCCTTCTGCTGCTCCCTGTGGAGAGAGGTGAGGCAGCTCTCCTACCTGGAGCCCCCCATAGTCGAGCCTCCCTCACCACCACCCCACCTGCAAAGGGAGGGCACGGAACTGTTTTCTGTTCTGTGACTCTGTAGGAACTCTCTGCTTAGGGAAGCACTGAGGAGGGACTGATCCCAGGCCACAGTCGTGGAGAAGATGAACTGGCCAGGCTCTGAGTGGCCCTGGCTGAAGGGTAGGAAGCTACAGGTAGTCAGAACAGGGTGGTACCTGGAAGAACTACTTGGAAGAATGACTGGAGGATGCAGTGGGCAATCGGGCATAGGATGGCCCAGCACTTGGCAGGAACATGAGGGAGAGACTTTAAACATCTGATCAAATAGGACTTGGAGTAGTCCTCTAAAGTTCCCTCCAGCCTTGAGGATCTGCTTTCTTCCTGCTTTTCTCCCCTCTCCCCAATGCCTAGTCCCCCAAGACTTACTGCTGCTTTTCCAGCTTGTAGGAGGCTGTGAGCTCATCAAACAGCTTTCCATTCATCTCCATGAAGGTCTTGAGCACATTGTAGATCAGAGATACGATGGTTCTTGGCAGCGTCAAGGGAGGAGGTTGAGATGAGAACAACTTCAGTTTGGCTTCCCCCTCCTCCTCTGGCATTCTGCCTATCCGTGTCCCCCAAATACAGCATGCAGCTCTGAACACCACAAGCATTGCCCACTTCCCTGCCCTTTTTACCACCCCCTCAGCCATCTTCTGATGCTTTCTCTGATCCTTTCCAGTTAGGAATAACCTCAGGGTCTAGATTGGCTGGCTCTGGTCCCAGTTTCTGTGGGTTAGGTCAAAACCTGGGCACTCACTGATTCCAGTGCTCCTTGGAGACTTGATAGAGGGTCCCAAACACAGCAGGCAGCACAGTGTGGCAGTTGTCCTCAATGAGGCTCAGGATATACTCGTTGTTCCAGAAATACAGAGCCCGCTCTGCAACCTGGGGCAGGTAAAATGGCAGAGTGAGTGCCTAGCCGTGGCTTCTCTGTGTACAAAGTCTGGTATCCATCGCTACCCCCAAACCCAGGCCCCCCGACCTCCATACACCCCATCCTCAAGGCTCATCTGACCCACTGGAGGAAGCAAGATGGTGCAGAGAAAAGAGCACTGGATTTGGAGTCCAGCACTCGGAGGCAAATTTTCACTACAGACTCCACTACATCCACATGACCTTGAACGAGACATTTAACCTCTCAGTCTCAGTTTCCTCATTTGTAAAACGGGGCTAATAATACCTACCTCCACAGGGCTGTTCTAAGAATCAAATGAGATACTGGACTTTAAGATATTTTATAAACTGGGCCGGCCCGTGGCTCACTCGGGAGAGTGTGGTGCTGATAACACTAAGGCCACGGGTTCGGATCCCATATAGGGATGGCTGGTTCACTCACTGGGTGAGTGTGGTGCTGACAACACCAAGTCAAGGGTTAAGATCCCCTTACTGGTCATCTTTAAAAAAAAAAAAAAAAGATGTTTTATAAACTGAAGTACCAGTGTCACTGTGAGGAAGAATTGACTTCCACTGGCTTATAGCTCACAAGAATGGGAAAACATCTGCACATACAATGTAGGAGAACATGAGTTACAGCTAGCTGGGATGATGCAGGGAAGCCTGGTGTGGTCCTAAAGTGGGACTAATGAAATCTAAGCCCACTAAGAAAAGGGGAAAAATGATAACAACCCTCCACTCCATTCTGGAGCATACTTCAGTTTACCAAACATGTTTATACTCATCATCTCTTTGATCCTTATCACTACCCTGTGAAGAGATCATTGTTGGCCCATTTTACAGATGAGGAAGCTAATTCAGACTCAGAGTGGTGAAGTGATTTGCCTGAAGCCCCTCAGCCAGTGGAAGGCAGATCTGAGGCTTGACCCTAGGTCTCCTGACCATCAGCGTCTCCCCATTATCAGACCCAGGAATGCAAGAGAACCTGAGGGCAGAGGGAGCTGTGTTAGGCCAACTAGCTGACCTTCCCAGGCCATACCTCTGCTCCCACCACCACCTGTCCCTACCATACCTGGAAATGGGGGCTGGAAACACAGCGAGCCACCTGCTTGAAGAGGGGCTCCTGGATCTTCACAAACTGGGAAGGCTCGATGACATCAAGAATCTCTTCCATCTCCCCCAGAAACATCACCTGGAGGCAGGGGTAGGGACAGAGGGACAGCTGCTCACATCTCCCCCCAATGCACATACACCTGACTGCCTCCTGGAAGCCGAGCCCTCCCAACCTCCCTGGTGGGCATCAAAGCCCTTCTTCATACCTCCTTCTGTGTGCAGGTTTTTGGCCAGTATTTGAGCAGCCCCCGGATCACCTGTGGGGGTTGAGGCAGAAAGGAGTCAAACCTGCAGAGGTAAGAGGCCTGCCTTCCCCCCAGAGCTACTCACGTGCTCTGTCAAGGTGGCATCCTTCTCCAGGAACTGCACCACACAGTATGCCAGCTGTAAGGGGTGTGGGGTAGAGAGAAAGAAGCCGGGGGTCAGCAGAAGGCTGAGTGCCAAGGACTGACTGCCCAGGACAGGATGCCAGACATTTGCTCACTTACTGTCTCCCACTCTCTTATTCACCAAGCATTTACTAACTGCTAGGACGTACATTTACTAGGACATACCAGGCACCACGCTCAGTGTGCTGGGAATATAATGATGATCTCACAGGGGAAACAGTCAGCAAACTAATCCTTATAAATTTTGCAGAAGGTTCAGTAGTAGAATTCTGTATCACAATCTTTGGGAATATAGTAGGAGGAGAGTTTACTTCTGACTAGGGGAAGGGGCTGAGTAAGGCTTCACAGAGCTGATGCCTGAGGTCAGCCTTAAAGGGTCAGTGGGAACTGTCTAAGGTAGATGGAACAGAATTAGTACAGATAAAGAAGGCAAGGTAGCATCCCATGAGTGTCAAGCTAACCTCCAGCCCTAACCTCTGACTCCTGATAGAGTCAGAGACCCCACTGGCTTCTCTGACTCTATCAGGAGCTCCTCTTGCAGTAGGGCCAGGCCCAGGCCTCACCTGGGCATGAAAGACAGACAGTGACTTGACTGAGTGTAGGGGAATCAGGACACGAACCAGGAACTGCTTGTGCTCAGTCTTCAGGGGCAGCGCAAAGCCATTTATGATGCTGAGGAGGAGGCAGAAGAGAGGAGGGCTCAGATAACCTCAGTCCCTCCTCCCAGAATCCTAAACTCCACCTGAGGCCCAGGGACAATTACCTTCCTAAGATCTCCAGCAGCTCAGCCACACCATTGAAGTGCTCGTATTCATAGATGAAACTGAGAGAAGAATGCAGGAGGGCTCAGAGCAGTGGGGGTAGGTTCAGCCCACCCCACGCCCACCCCTTAGCCATCCTGCCTGCCCACCTTTACACACATTGCACACTCATCCTCACCCAGAGGTCACAATCCCTTCCCAGTGCCCCAAACCAGGCCTCACTGAGATCAACACTGACCTCTGAAATACCCTTCTCAGCGCAGCCACCTCTGCCACTGAGTCCCAGCTCAACCCTTTCTTCCATGAAGTGTTCCAGCTCATCTTATTCTCCCCCAGACCCTAACCCTCATCACCGCAGCTCCATCCAATCAGCAGGCACCCAGCCTATATCTTTCATTCTTCATGCCAGTCAACCAAAAGAATAACAAACACTTAGAGAATCTACTGTGTACCATGTAATTCTCAAAACTGTCCCAGGAGGAAGGGCTTATTAAATCCACTTTACAGATGAAGGAATCAAGACTCTGTGGTTAAATGAAACTTGCCTCAAAG